TTCTCGAGGCTGTTGCAATTTCGACACGACGCTCGTTAATTACTCCTTCGTTACTCGTGAAACGTGAAATTTTCTGGCCTCGATTTTCTGGGTCATCTTGCTCAACGAATTAATGTATCTTTTGATTACCTGTTGAATTATTTTCATACTGTAATCCATTACTGTAATCTACGTTACTGCAATCATCTCGTAATTCATAATTTCATGTTCATTGTCTGTAAAAGGTCCTTGAAGAATTTCGACACCATTCACCGCTATAAGTGACTTTGTATCAGTTTGAAAGCGTAGAGATGTTATTCAGCGTGTAGAGTATAGTTTCCGAGAAGAACAAAGTTCGGAAAAAGTTCGCAGTGAAAGTGGAAAGTTCCGAAGAATCTTATAGAAAGACTTTGATTACGTATTTAAGGTCCACGAAACTTGCCTGCGATCTAAAATCATCTATTCACAGGTTTTTCCAACAGAACGAATCGATTCTTTATTCTAATAAAGTTTCGTCGCGTATAAAGTAGAATGATCAAAAGTGATTCGCTGCGAATATCACAGGTAGTCATGGATCGATCAGGATGTCTCGGAAAGTAAACATCAGTATTGCAACAATGAGTAAGAAACTCGGAGATGAATTTCTCCACTACATTTAAGGAATTTCTTGGGAGGCATTCGGAGATAAAGGATTCTATTTCTTCTCTGACAACTTCTGAGCACCTGAACATTGTTCCTTATAGTGGTACAATGACTTTAAATTTTAGGTGCTTTATCTCGGTAATTTAAAAGAAGTAAATGCATATAAAATTCTCGAAATTTGATCTTTCGTTTTACAGATATATGAAAGAGTGTAGTGAGACAAAAATGAATTGGATGTCGTATCGGCAACTTGCCTAAAGCTTATCGCAATCATCCAGAAGCCCCTGAATCGAAATTGAAAACTCGTTCGCGATGGATTTCCAAGGGTTTCGCGAAACTTGGCTGCTCGTATAAGGGCGAAATCGTTTCGAGGGTGGAGAATATTGTGCGATTGAATTAGGATCGAGGATGCCCCGAAGTAACCTCGGCTCGAGTTGAAGAGAAAGGGGGGGAACCGATGGGAAATGCGGGAAAAGGTGCTCGTTGGGAATTTCTAGCGACGAGCTGGATTAATAACGAGAATGTTTTAATAATCTCGAGGAGCGCGTATCGAGCGGGAAACCAGGGAGAGCAATCTAATCTGTGGCTTCTGGAATTGGATCAATTCCAGCTCACGTGCTCGCGTCTGCTTTGCTGAAAAATTCAATCGCCAGCCCTGAACAGAGTGTCTGTTAGACGCGTGATTTGTATCGTCGTTCGTTCGGATTTCCAAATAGAGTTTCGGCTGATTAAAAATTTCCAAATTTCTGTTCCTATTGAAATCTTTATTGTTTTTAACACGTTGACGGAAGCAGTTGAAAATTAGATAGTATTTTTGTTTCTGACAAATCTTACTAAATATTCTCACAATTATATTTCTCACAGTTATATTTATTATTTATAGTTTCAAATAGTTAATTCGAACATTAGGTTAGTGGACACATTCTTAATAATATACATATGTAGATAATACATTCGCATGGAAGATTAGGAGTCATCCATATGTCGGTAACGTGGCAATCAAAATTTTAAACAAGAAGAATGTCAACTTAATTAATCAATTAATTAACGATCAACTATCCAACGTTTTAAATTATCAAATAAATGTATAGAGAGACATTGTATTTCAACCCGTATTTCATTCTTGATTGACGTTAAATTCCGAGAAATAAGTCGATAGGTCAATATTGGAAGTGATAGTTCAAGATTTAATCTAGATCCAATTTGGATTTGACTTAGCAAATCCAATGTAATTCGAAGCAATTTCAGAGCCAATTTTGGTCTAACCCACACCTAGCTCAAGCGAGCTTAGAGTAATCTTAATACAAACCTAATCCTGGTCTAAGTTAGCCGATCGTCAAAGTCACCGCGAATCTAATTGCCAAAGAGTTACCTTAGCTTAATTTCCTTCGATTTAAACGATGTTCGCCTTGCGTGCTAATTAATTCACATCTCACTTAATTAGTTACCGCTCTTTTTTACTAACAAGGCCTGCTACAATTACGGTTATTCAGGTTAAACTTTCCTCTTAATTAACTCACGAGTTTCATATTTTTTCTCACAATAGACTCGCGATATATTACCGGTGCAGGGATTTTTGGAGTGACACTTTTCATTGAAACACAATTTTAAGAGTATTGGAGTTTCTATTATTCGTTTGTTAAATGTATTATGCGTTCACTCGTTCATTGATCAAACGTATTAGCACTTATTTCAGGGAAAATTGTTAATATTTTCTGATAGAAACAGAAGTTCATGTTCGAGCATTATGCCGTTATAATGCGCCACGTTTCGCTTGAAAATGAACTTGTTTGGAGTTTGTGGGCTCGGCTGAACTTTCCACTTTGGAAAGGTCCCTTCGTGGCTCCTAGATTAATGAGTCGTCGCTACTACTTTTAATCATTGCTTTCCAAGATGTATTTTCATTAACCCCTCGCAACTTTCCTCGATTGTTTGCGATTCTCATTTTCCGTGATTTCCTGCAAGCGTTTCGATCCAGGTAAATAAGCGGAATCAATCAAATTGTGCGCGTCGTAACTGGTTGTTACGAAAGGTTCGAAAGCGACGTTATTACCGTTAGAAATTGCCAAGAAGAAAGTGTCGTGGAAAATGTGGTCGGATGCAGAGAAATCGAATTCGATTTTTCACGAGTAAGGACGGGAATGTCTTCGGCGTTGATTCACCGGAAATACGAGCATTTTTCCGTGGAAGACGCTCTTTTCGGCAAGGACAAAGCTTCCTCGTGTTCCTGTCGGGTTTAAGGTCAGCGGAGGAAGGCCATTTTTCCGCGGCGACGCGACGCTCGTAAGAGGATTAAGCCAGTTTTCTTGCTGGCGGATTTACCGCGTGGCACAGATGCTGCCGTCGACCATTTTTGGCCCGTCCTCGACTCTTTCCCGATGCAATTAATGCCGAATTTATAGCGTTACCCGGACCTTCTCCGTTGACATGATTCGTGGCCGGATTTGGGTCAGCATGAAAATTCTTAAATTCAATTTGCGCGCAACCTTTGTTCCTATTTTCCTCGCGAAATTAAATTATGCCGTGACAGCGTCAGGCGTCTTCGCGAAGAATAGCGAAAACTCTATTTGAATTACGGTTGAACAGAACGCAAACAGGAACATAAAAGTCGCCAAAGAAAATACGTAAACTTAAGATTAACTGACACGCTTTCTTTATCTGTTAAAACAAAAGGTTTCTTTAAAAAAATTTATCTCTTCAAATGTACTAACAGATACGCTTCTGTTTTTCTTGAACAATATTCTTATGAAAGATGTCTAACCTCAA